CGGTTGGCGCAGGATAGAGCAGGGTTTAGAGCTGTTGTGCATAGGGTCGCTATGAGTCGGAAACGACTCGATGGCACATAACAACAAGGCCTTTATCAGAGAGATGGTTTGAAAAATACTTTTCTTCGTAAAGGATTGCATTTTGACTTATACCATGCTGTCCTTTAAAAGCACGAAAGCGAATTTTGAAGTCTAACTTCTGTAAATCTTTTCTTTTGTTTCATTTGCTTTTGGTATACAGTTTAATGACATGAACTCAAGATCATGAAGATGCCCCCTGGATTTTCTTCTAAGAGTTTCATACAGATTTATGATCAGTAATTTAAAAAAAAAATAAATTAGATTGATTTGCTTTCAAAGTTCATATACATTGTGTTTCATATAATCATTCCCTTTCATTATATTTTATAAATCACCATTGAACTGTGCCTACCATTAATTACCCTATCTTAGCAGATTATGATCTGTAATTTTTATAATATGTTTAGGTAGGGGTCTAACTTCATTATTTGGCATGTGACTTTTGATTATTTGAACACTATTTCTTGAAAAGACTACCTTTTTGCTCTATTCTTGACCATCTTGTGAAAAGTCAATGGTGTATAACTGTAAAAAAAAAATTTCTGGATTTCCCCCCACATTTATTTATCTGTATAGCTTTCTTTAGGCCAGCATCTCAGTCGCTAGGTTATTGTAGCTAGCTTGAAATTAGAAAGTATGAGTTCTTTGTTTTTTCCCAAGATTGTTTTGGCATTCATAATTTTTGTTGATTTTGAAGGCAATAATCTGGCATGTCTGGGTGTGTACTGTCTTTGAGGAGACTATAAATATTAAAATGTCCAAATTAAGAACTTGGTACTTGAAAAGGAGAATTTGAGTTGCCTACGAACTGGATTACTGGCTGAATTCCTAAATGGTTTGTTCTTGTGTGTGTGGAGTTTTTTGTTGTTGTTGATTTTTTTTAAAATAGCATCACTTGTTTACTTACACATTTTTGGGGTGTTCACCATAGGTTATATATTATTCTGGATTCCCATAAACTAGAATGAACAATGCAGTGGGCTTTTGTTTTTTTAAAAGAAATGTTTATGAGGAAGTTTTGATTATAAAAGACAAGAAAATCTTCAAAGCACATATACCATTAAGTGGAAATTTACTGTATTGTCAAAGTTGGAAGTCCCATCAATGAAAATTCCTAATACACAGTATTTTGCTAGTAGGAATGAAGTTAACAAAGATCAGGAATTTCTTTAAGATGGCTTTATTGAGCATATTAAAAAATATAAAACCATCATAATGTTTTCATTTACTTTTTGTGTGCATATGTTTCCTCTATTTAAAATTCCCTTGAAGGAAAGGGCCTTATTTTGTCATCTTCTTATTCTTATCTCTCCTTTAACAGTACTTTGAAAGTATTAGAAATCCTGTATATATTAACTAAATGATTGGCGAGTAAGCCATGAATCAGTGCTCATATTGTATGACCTTATATTAAAGTTTATACTAGAGTTTATGTAACTTTTATTACCTATCATTCTTATCCTCTTATCTTATTTAAAGTGAAAATAAAGCAGACATTCAATATGTTGCTCACTTTTACAAAAGTAAGATTAACTAGAATTGTTGTTGTTGATTGCCTTCGAGTCAGAGTGACTCATAGCAACCCTATGAACAAAAGGCCTGAATGAAGCCCCTCTGCAGCTATCGATATTTGTCATAGAGTTTCTGGAGGCATGTTGTTTAGAAAGTGGATGCAATAAACTGCAGGAATAACCTAAATAAACTTTACGTGTATACATGTTGGAAGTATGTAATGCTATATACTTGAGCTCATCTGAGGAAATAGATGGGTAAGGGAAAGTCTCTCTCTCTTTGGTTTCATCTAGATTGAATAGAGCTGCAGGGAAGCAGATTGAGAGAGGGAATATTTGAGACTCGTTCTCGTCAAGAGGTAGCTCTCACCTAAGATGGTAATCACTTGTCTTTGCAGTGGTTATTTGGAAACGTGTGGGGTGTTTTTTTGTTCCCATGTGTAGAAGGGCTGCTGACTTTTTGTGGCTCGTGGTGAGGCAGGTGAGGACCCTGCAGTTTCTGCCTCAAGTCCCAATGGCGTCGTGATGGAGCTGTCCTGTGAAAGAAGCAGCTTTAGCTGCACAGGGAGGAAAAGAGTGTCAAAGAGATGTGTTCCCATGTACATACTGCTTTTCGGATGTTTGGTTTTTGTTCTTTTGTCTCTAGAGGCTGAACTGTGAATTATATGTAGTTAAGAGTAAAAGAGCAGTGGAACCTGGGAAAGAATTTATTGCTGATAAGTTTTGGTGATTTTGAGTATACTTTTCAGTTTCTCTTCTTTGATGACTTTTTTCCCCCTTCTACCCTTAGAACGAGCCTCTGACCCCAGGTTATCATGGATTCCCAGCGCGGGACAACCAGGTTGGTATCTTCTGTTGATAATTAAGTGGAATGTGCTCGTGCATGCATGTGTGTGTGTGCACGCGCTCGTGTGTGTCTTCTAGACATGTAAATGATAAAGAATATTTCCTGAAATGACATTTTGGACAAGGGTATGACTTCTTTAAACAGTAAAAACTTAGATATAGAGATGAAATACATTTTTTAGTTCTAAAAATGCTTACTTGTCTCACTGAAATGGTGTTTGTAATTTCAATATTGTATTTTTATTTTTGACATATTGTAAGAGGAGAAAATTTTTTTTAGATATTATAAGGGGAGAAAAATCACTCAGTAAAACCCTAATTCTTTTGTGTTTGCCTCTTCAGGCTATATTGTAACTTTAAGATCTGATGCCTTATAATTCTGTTTGTTCTACGTTACTTGATCTCCGCCTATATAGTTTTTGAGTCCTTGCAGTAATCTGGAATAAGAGAATTCCATTCTTTCCCCTGGAGCCTGGAGGAATTTAGCTGTATGGTTTAATTAGGAAAACCTTGTCCAAGAGGAGGAGCGCAGGTGGTACAGTGGTTAAAGCATTGCTCACTAACAAAAAGCTTAGTGGTTGCAACCCCCCAGCCTCTTCACAGGAGGAAGATGTACTGTCTGCTTCTGTAAAGTTTGTAGTTGTCGGTATGGACTGCTGAGTCGGAACCAACCCATAGCAGACCCTCCAGCGGGTTTTCAGAGGCAGATAATCAGTGGGAGGAGACTGCCCATCCTTCTTCTGCAGAGCAGCTGGTACCTTTGGGATTTCAGCTCAGCTTCTTACCACTAGGCCGCCGGAGCTCTCTGTTACTTGATTTTGAAAAGTAATTTTTTTTTTTTTTTTTTTTTTTTTTTAGAAGTCAGTTTGGCTAGAGTCACTACTATTTGCCATTCTTTGAAGGTCAGGTCAAGTATCACCTGCTCTCTGAAGTGTCCTCCCTGGGCCCCTTGCCTTGGGGGAATATTTCCTCCTCTGGGTTCCCACAATGTTTTGCACACCATCCCAGTGGAGTACAGTTCCACAGGTTCTGTCTACCTGTCTGCCATTACACTGAGATTCCCCAAGAATGCAAATCTTTCTTCTTAATCTGTATGTTCCCAGCAGCTACTTAAATTGTTGGCCGTATACACATCAGCAAACGGGGGAAAAAACACAATGCCAATGAGTTTGAACCCAGCTCTCAGGAATCCCATATGTAACACTAGAACTGTGCCATAGGTTGTTCTTGGTGGAAGCACATTGCCAGGTCTCTCTCCTACCAAGTGGGTTCTAACTGCCAACCTTTAGGTTAACAGAGTACAGCACGTTTCCCAGGAGCTACTAGAATTTCACCCTGTTAATGGATCTGTACTGAGAATTTATTTCTATTTTGAGAGAAAAGAGAAAGCATAAAACTATAAATAACTCTTTTCAATCAAAACTGACAAGTTTCTACTCAAAACTGATTCCCTCCAGTTGTAGCTCTCGGGAACACTCATTGCTCTCCCTGCTGGCAGTTGTGTGCTCTTGTCCTGTGGGCCACTGTGACGGAGTCAGTTGGTGGCAGTGGATTGGGGGTGGTGTGGGTTTTGTTCTTTTTTTGTTTCTTGCCAAATAAAAAGAAAATTTCTGCCTTTGACTAGTAGGTGGAAAGATGTTTAGAACAGGCCACAGCCCTGTTGTGGGTCAGAACAGAACTGCATCCTGCCACTGCATCCTGCAGGACGTTCTTCATCTGGCTTCTTACTCTGCTCAGGTGCCATCCAGTTGGCTCTGACGCCTAGCAACCTGTGTGTGACGGAGCAAAACACTGCATAGTCGTAACACATAATCCTCACAGTCGGTGCTGGACTTGAACCCGTGGTTGTACCCACGATGACAGTCCATCGTGTTCAGGATTTTCCTTGTTTTCGTTGACCTGCTACTATACCAAGTATGATGTCTGTCTCCAGAGATTGACCTCTCCCCATAACACGCCCGAAGTGTATCTCACCACCCTTGCGTCTGGAGCATTCTGGCTTCATTTATCTCAAGATAAATGCACTTGCTGTTTTGTCAGTCCATGATTTACTCAGCATTTTTCCCCAGCATCAAAGTTCAAAGGCATCAGTTCTTCAGTCCTCCTTACTTATTATCCAGCGTGTACATTCATTTGTTGTTGTTGTTATGTGCCGTCGAGTCACTTGCATCTCATGGCAACCCAATGTATGATAGCCCTGACCCCTGTTCTACCCTTTACTGTCCCAGACACACCTACCCCCCATTATCCCAGTCACTGAATCAGTCCATCTCCTATGAAGCACTTGACACATACCATGGCGTCCTGTCTTGTTCATACAGGTTTTAATGTACTCTTTCTCCTTTTGCTGTATGAAGCCTTGAACAGATGTGACTGTCGCAGTTAGGGTGGTTGTGCTTGTTGTTAGGGGCCGTCAGCTGTGCCTCACAGTGACCCCGTGAACAGCAGATCTGAACCTTGCTCCATCTGCTTCGTCCTTACCACCCTTAGCATGCTCCAGCTCAGTGTCAGAGGCACTGTGGCAGTCTGTCTTGTTAGGAGTCTTCCTCTCTTTTTCTGACCCTCTGTCTTTCCAGGATGTATCTCCCCTCCCCCCAAGACCATGTCCAAGTGTGTGAGATGAAGCATCCCCGTCCTTCCCTCTGAGGAGTACCCTGGTTGCACTTCTTCCAGGACATACTTGTGTGTTCTCTTGGCAGTGCACAGAATAGTCATGGCTCCTTGCCAACACCACACTCGAAAGAAATTGATTCATCTTTGTTCTTCCGTATTCATTGTCCAACTTTTAGGTGCATAGGAGGAAACAGTTGGCAATATGGGGACTTAGATCAGGTGCACTTTAAACTGTCACTCCTGCTCTTTAAAGACCGCAGATCTGCCCAGTGCAGCAGGTCTTTTGATTTGGCTGCTGCCACAGATGTTGATTGTGGAGTCAAGTAAATTCAAGTGGTTTGACAACTTCAGTCTTTTCTCCATCTCTTATGAGGCTGCCTATTGTTCCAGTGGTGGAAATTTTTATTTTCTTGATGTTGAGATGAGATTTAATCCATATTGAAGGCTCATTAGAGAAATGCTTGGGCTCAAGTCACCTAGTGTCTGAGGCTTGCAAGGGCAGCCTCTGGACATAGATTCAAATGCTTATCTCCGAGGGACTCACCATCGTTAGTTAGGCTCCTTGAAGGGACATGAATCATCAAGTGTCTAATTCTAAACTGTAGGGTTGACAGTTCCCCTTTCCCATAAGTCAGTTTAATCTCATCAGAAGTCTTGAAACGGCTCTTAAAGACTAGGATCTCTCCCTATCCGATTGTCATTTACCCGAGGACTTTCTGAGTTTGAGGCAATTTACTCAATTCTCTTGAGTCACTTCAGAGCATGATTGGTGCTAGGCTGAAGCTAAGCTTCCTCGTGCAGAAGAAGGGAGAGCAGTGATGTTCACCTCTATTATCTCCCAGTATGACTGTCACCATTGAGATGAGTGTAAGGCTACACTGCTGCCTAGAGTAATACTCGTGGACTTGACACTGTCCCAGTATAGACGTTCTTCTGAAAGATAGTCATTTACTCCAAAGCCAAAGAACAAAGAAAGCTAAAGCCAAACGTAGAATTGTTTTGCACTTATTTGTTTTTGGTCTCCCCTGGAGGCCTCTGTAAGCTGTGAAATCTGTGCCGTTCTCAGTAGTTCTATATCCTGACCATTCATCAGAAAAAAATCCCAACCCTTGGAGATGAGCCCATAGGAATTCCGAGTAGGTCCTAGGCTGGACGTCACCATTCAGATACTTAGAAATCCTTCCAGGTGACTCTGCTGGCATCCAGGGTAGAACAGCAGCCCTGTCTATGTGTTGCTTTGAAAGGAGTGACATTTTCTGTTCGTTCTGTGTTTTGCACCTCTAATGTTTAATATATAAGGGGACATTCCCAGTCTCTCAATATAATTTTATACACGTAAGCAGTTAATTTTAAAAAGTTGCTTTTTTAAAAATTTTGTATACATGAAAATAGAGGTAGGTGAAGTAAAATGTGAATAGTTTTATTGCTTTTAAGAGCAGTTGAAAGAGTTGTAGATAAAATTGTGTTCTGCTGGGGCGTATGGATCAATGAAGAGCTGAGGAAAAGGAGTTGAGAGCAATTTGTTAAAGCATAAGTGGTTGCTTTGCTCGGAACTGTCTTTTTCCTTTCTTTTCCAGCGAGTCCCACTTCTGTAACCTGCGCCTTCATTGGCTCCTTCTATCTCTGCTGTAGGCCTGTGCAGACCCTTTGCCACGGTTTAAAGCTGCTAATTTACTTTAAGGCCCATTCTGGTGGTGACAGGTTTATTTTAGTTTATTTTTCTTGGGCTTCTTTTGTTCTCTGGCTGGATCTTTGAGTTAGAGATCTTAGAGTAATGCAAATAGGCAAATATTGAATAGCTGCTTGTTGGATTTGATGAATACAGAATCCAAATGAGTGCTGCTAATGAATGTGCCTAACCTTGTGAACTCTCACTCTGAGCTGGGAGATTTGGGAGGCATTTATCAGTGCGAAACACTAGTCACGGAACAGCTGGAACTGGGCAGAAGCGGAACTTGTGATCTTTACATCTCCCCAGCGTGGTTTGGCTCCGCAGATCCAGGAACCAGCAAGGGGGTGAAGGTGAATTTTAATTGTGTGTGTCTTTTTTTTTTTTTTTTTTAAATTTTTTTTTATTCTTTTGCTGGCTTCCCATAAGAGTTTTGCCAGAATGTGATGGTGATTTTAAAAGAGATAAAAACTGTATTCTGTTGATGGCTGTGGTGCACTTGCGTGAATATTTCATCTCATCCTCAACCACCTTTTGAAGCAAATACAGCAGCCCCTTTGGAAAATAAAGAAAGTGAGGCGAGCACATGTCAATTGACTTGTCCCAGATAGTATCTGATTAGCAACTGAAATTTGTCTTCTGATCCTTAGTTGAGGCCACTTTCTTCCCTATGAAGCCAGATGCACTGCTGTGGGGTCGATTCCAATTTAGGA